GACGGACTCACAAAAGACTAGGAAACCAAAAAACCCAAAAACCAACTTTTTTTGGAACTCTGGTGGCTCCTGAAAAAGTTATTTTTTTTGGTTTTCCTAGGGAAAAAGTTGGTTTTTCTTGAAAAAACCAACTTTTTCCTAGGAAAAAAATTGGTTTTTGGAAAGCCTGGGCTCCTAAAACCAACTTTTTCCTAGGAAAAAGTTGGTTTTTGAAAGAAATGTGTCCCAAAAACCAACTTTTTCTTAGGAAAGGATTATTTTTTTCTGGAAAATCTCAATGCCACGTATTGCAAAAACCAACTTTTTCCTAGGAAAAAAGTTGGTTTTAGGAGCCCAGGCTTTCCAAAAAGCAGCTTTTTCCTAGTTCCTAGGAAAACCAAAAAAACAACTTTTTCAGGAGCCATCATAGTTCCAAAAAAAGTTGTTTTTTTTGGTTTTTTGGTTTTGGTGCTTTTGGGCTTTCTGTATTTCCATACCTTACTTAACAAGGAAATTATATTAGCCAGAATCCAGGTGGAAACCAGAAATCCAAAAGTCCAGAATTCTAACATTGAATTCAAATAGATTCAACAAAGAATTTTAATGGACCAGAATTGGATTTCAAACTAGGAATCCCAGATTTGAGGATTTTCGTGAAGTCACATAAAATTAATAAGCAATGTAAAAAGACAAGAATCGATTAAAAACAAAGAATCAATAATCGTATTCATTTTAAAGAAATTAACTAAGGAATTTGTATGGATCAGTATACAATTCAATCCGAAATTGAGGGGTGTCCAAAATCCGATCATGTGAAAATGTTTGTTTTTATCGGTATTTACAGTGTTTTCAAGGGGTCGGTGGATCATGGGGGGGGGTCCATATATATATATATGGATATAGATATATCGGGGTATATACGGACATCCAGGGTTTAGAGTTTAGGGAATAAGGTTTTAAAGATTAGGGTTTAGGGTTTCCCAAAATATGAAGGGTATTCTTTTGGGCGTCCCCATAAGAAGGATTCTAGTATTTTGGGGTCTATACTGGGGTCCCCTTACTTTGGGAAACCACGATGTACACGAATAGGGTTTAGGGTATAGGGTTTAGGGTTTGGAGTCGAATATAAGCGTGTATATATATATATACATGTATGACTTGATTATAACTGTTTATACATGCAACATACATGGTAGTTTCGATACATTGGGAGGAGACCCAATACGGACCTAACATCTCTCCTTCTAACCTCCCCCTATAAACCCTAAACCCTATAGTCCCCCTTAAGTAGATAGAATATGGCTTTGGGCATATTATAATAAAACCCCATATACCCCATCTTCCATCTACTTAAGGGCGACCATAAATCGTAAACATCCAACATCGCAAGCCAAAAGCCTAAACTCCATGTAGCCCACGGCTCTACAGTCCCCAGTATGGGCCCTTGATTTTGGTGTCCTCACATACCTGCAATATACACGATAAAAACCCTACAAGCCCAAGCAAGGGCCCAAAGTTAAGAGCGAGGAAATAATTAAGGTCCCATATCGGCGGCGGGTCCGATATGAGTCTGACCTAGTGGGAACCTAAAGACCCCATAGAACACCACGATTGGGGAAGGGCCCGATTTGATTTGCGGGTCCATGGTCAGGACCTTATAATTAGAACTCTAAATCCTAAATCCTAAGTCCTAAATCTGAACCCCTAAACCCTAAATCCTCGACCCTAATCGCTAAACCCTAATACCCACACCCGAAATCCTAAACCCAGATCCCATAATTATTTAGGACCTTAAAGGGGGGCATCGGCGAAGCTTAGGCTCGGGCCCGCAAGTCTCATGGGGGCACTCCCGGCGCAAGCGCGTGACCTCCCCCAACCCAAAGGAGCCTACGGTGGATACCATGATAATACCGTCCCCCTTAAAGGGTACCCCCAGGGTTCAAGGAGCTAATAATGGACTTACAAAGATCCAATAAGATTGAAATCTGGGCGGAGACACTCCTGGCAGTATGGTATTGTAACCCCTGGGTTATATAAGAGAGGTTTCCTCAAAGAAAAGGGACCCCCTTTCCTTTTCAGAAGCTCCCATATAGGTGTTGGGGCTTCGGGTTTAGAGTGCCGGGCTTCTGGGGAATATTCACCCCAATCATAGCGGAAGTCCCTGCTGCAGAAACTGAACTTTGCAGTATATAGATTCTTTTGGACCCTGTGGGAGAAGAGGAATGGGAGGGTGGAGCTTGAGTGTGCAATTTTGGGCGTGGGTGTGCGCGCGATTTACTGGGTTTTAAAGTTTACTGGGTTGCTGCTAAAGAACTTAAACTAAACTACCATACTGAGGAGATCCAAATTTTACAGTTCACCCATAGCAGTGTATGGCTATTTGCTCCAAACAGAACCCTATCTACCCATATCATGGTAACTTATTTTAAGTTCCTTAACAGCAACCCCCTTTAGGATTGACGATTGCAGGCGTGCGAGTTTGGTGGCTTGGCATCAGTCTGTGCGGCTTACGGTGTCTGGCTCTACGCATTTTGGGGATTAGGGGCCTAGACTGTAGTAGCCTAAACCACAAACCGCATTGCTCTCCACAGAATCGTCGGTGTAAAAATGATGGGCCGAAATCAAAAAAAGCTCGATCTCCACTCTCCGCGCTCCCTTGCCAAGGTCTCCTCTTGAATCTTCAAGTTCATGGTTAGGTCCAAGTGCCTAAGGCCCAAGTAATGCTTGGTGGCCCTTCCGCCCTCAACCTGAAAAACTAGAGGGCTATGTATCGCCCTACCCTCATAATCAAAGCTTCCAGATGACAACACGACCCAATTGCTCTTGCAGCCTCGTCGACTAAAAAGGTCCCATACGCCTAAGTATTGCTGCTTAAGGGGGACTGGTGAGTGAACGAAGGGATTCTTCTAGGGGTATGTATATATTCCCACCCTAAACCCTAAACCCTTTTGATTATTACAGGGATCCACTCCGTAAACCCTAAACCCTATTGAGAGATCCACTCTCCCACTCTCCCTTATAAGCACCAGTAAGTTGAGGGCACTCTGAACGCGAATCCCTCATCCCTTTCGGTTTAGGGTTCAGGGTTTAGGCTTCAAACCTGGTGGTGCTTGCGGGGCAGAGGGAGAGAGTAGCCCTATAGTAGGATCTGTATATATAATCTCCTACAACCAGAATTAAGGTTTAGGGGTCTTGGGATAATCATATTCACTACCCAACCCCTCCTTGAGTGCAAGTAAGTAGACGGAAGCATCGAATGTCTGGACTTTCTGAAAGTAGCTCGTGAAGCCTCTACCCTGAACTATGAATCCCAGCCCTTGATCCAAAGTCCTAAACCCCACACGAAGATCCTTCTTAAGCATACTTCTTGTACAGAGCTGTTGAGAGGGTTTAGGGTTGACGGTTTAGGGTTTGGTATCAAAGAAGGTGAACTAGATCTCCAAGTTGGACCAAACTCTAAGGGTCCAAGTGCCGAATAACCATGTACTCTTAAAGCCCCAGTGCCCAACTATCGGCTACTTGGCACCCTGAAGCCTCCACCATGTCCAAAACCTCAACCGCAAAAAAACCCTGTACCTCTACAACCCCAACCCGATGTAATCCCTAAACCCTGAAAGCTACAACCCCTACGTAAACCCAAACCCCCTATATTCTACAGCCCCAAACCGTAAACCCTAAACCCTGAAACCTACAATCCCTTTTAAAGGGGATAACCCTATATATGTAATCCCTAAACCCTGAAACTTACAACCCCGTTTAGGGGGCTACCGTATTCTGCCCTGACCTTATCGTTGGAGTCAACTTTGTAGAACTTGAGGACTGCGAGCTTGACCTGAAAGATCGTTGAAGATGTTTAGGGTTTGGGGATTAAGGTTTACGATGTTTGGGGTTTGGGTTTTGGGGTTTAGGGTGTGTAGGGTTTGGGTTTTAAGGTTTAGGGTGTTTAGGGTTTGGGTTTTAGGGTTTGGGGTGTTTAGGCTTTGGGTTTTAGGGTTTAGGGTTTAGGGTTGAAAGTTTAAGGGCTTCTTGCCGGCAGCGTGTGGAAAACGAATGGCAAGTACTAGATGGCAAGTACTAGCGTATTAGATAGCGGGAATATAGGCGGCACTTTAAGGATCTGTTCTGAGTTCTGAGATGAAGACCATAGCATTCCTAGGTTCCCATCAAGACCCTAAACCCCAAACCCCTAAACCCGGAGCCCTAAACCCTAGGCCCTAAACCCTAACCCCTAAAGCCTAAACCCCAAGCCTCTAAACCCTAAACAATCCATAAACTTTGACCGTAAGCCCTACGCCCTATAAGCCCTAAACCCTAGACCCTGAACCCTGATTAATCCCTAATCCTTGACCTTATCCTTAAGGTTCTTGGCCCAGGACAGTCCCGGAAATTTAGGGCTAAACCCTACGCCCTAATCCCTAAACCCTAATCCCTAATCCCTATACCTAGCTCCTAAATCCTAATCTCTAAGCCCTGACCGCCTTGGGGTAAGCCAAGTTCAGGCTCTGAAGCCACACGGTTCAGGGGGTTAGGGCGAGCTAAGGCAATAGGGTTTAGGTTGTAGGGTTGCGCGCTGAAGCTTTGGGATTTCAAGCTGCGGGCTTAAGATCCAGGGCTCGAAGCTTTGATGTGTTGGGCTGCGTGAGGTTCTCGAATGGGGGGTTGCCTAATCACCTAAGGGGTATGTAAAATATTGTGATGCGACTGTGGAAGGTCCTCATTGAGCATCATCATTCTTCACCACTGAGAAACTCTGCCATAGCGCTTGGTGTGCTGGCTTTGGTTCTTGGATTTAAGATTTCTCCTTCACAAAGCCCCACCTAACTTGTGATGAAAGACGACTGGGTGTATACATGAATTGCGGCGCGCAGGGCTTATTATTGGGGGGAAAGGATACGAAGCTTTTGGTTGAACACTTTGGGCTTGAGGCTTCTCGCGTGCCGGGTGTAGGTTCTGGACCTTTATGTGCCGTCCCCGCTTCATAGATGCATGAAGGCACTCCCCTTTTTGCTCAACGCATGGAGTGCCCTCTCCGTGCCTGCATAACTATGAGTCACTTTGGACTTTGGGCAAACTGCTGGCATGAGAAGCCACAGAGGCGTTCCGTCTGCGGTCGGCACTTTGTAGATCCAAAGCTCTCCCGCTGACATCATCCGCTCTGTATGTCTTCGTGCAAGCTCGTGCTGATGACCCCAAGTTGGGTTTTCGCTTTCGCAGACTTAGACTCCCTCGCAAGAGAATACAACTCTAATTATAGGCTTTGTTCCTGGAAATGTAGAGTCTCAATCCTAAATTGCGAACCTAAACCCGAAAGTAGGGGCCCTAAACCCGAAACCCTACAACGCAAATTCTAAAAACCCAACTAGAGCTCTGCTTCAAATCGGCGAAGAGCAGCCTCAACCTCGTCGAAGCTGTGCCTTAGGGGTTTAGGCCTTAGGGTTTAGGGGTTCCGTGAACCCTAAAGTAAGAAAGCCAATATTCTAAATACTTTTAAGGTTTAGGTCGCGGCTTGGGATGAATTCTGGATTTGGGCTTTCGAGCTTGTGGAGATGAGGGTTAACGGTTTGGAGTTTGTCTCCAGGTTTGGGAATGAGCGATGAAGGCCACAGGGTTTCAGGGAATCAGGGTTTAGGGTTGAGGGGCTAGGGTTCTGGGTTTGTCTCAGGCTTTAGGGTATCTCTAGGGGTATTTCCCTAAACCCTAAACCCTAAACCCTAAATCCTAAACCCTAAACCCTAAACCTTAAACCTTAAACCCAGGTATTCCTAAACCCTGACCCCCAAAAAGTCTGAACAGCAGCCTAGGCTCGTACCATCCACCGGTGTAGACTTAAACTCCAGCCGGTTGCCGCGGAACACGTAGAAGCGGAAAGGCCATGGGGCGAAATTCCCTGGGTTGCTGCTTAGGAACTTACATGGGTTTAGGGGTTTAGGGTTTAGGGGGTTAGGGTTTAGGGTTTAGGGTTGAGGGTTTAGGGGGTTAGGGTTTAGGAGGTTAGGGTATAGGTTTTAGGGACTTAGCTGTGATTTTCCTTATGGGGAAACCATATGATTTACTCTGTGTTCTTACTTTTTTTTTTAACTCAACCCGAAGCCCCGCAAAAAAGTACATATATGCATGTGTAACATGTGTACATATATGTAGGTGTACATAAACATTATACAGCAACTCCTTTGGAGGGACCTCACTAAGGTGAAGTAGCTTCACTTCCTTAGCTATATCGAAGCCTGTAACCTCTGCAAATAAGACCCGCTATGATGGTGGCTTAGTTTCAGTTCAATGTCTTTAAAGCTATGAAACCGTATAGCCTCTACAGGGACCCACTACGGTAACTTGGTTTAAAAGCTTTGACTAAATTGGAACTCTATAACCTCCTTGAAGGGAACCCACTATGAAAAAACTTGCTTTAAATTATCAACAGTATCAAACCCCCCTAACCTCTTTAGAGGGAACCCATTACGATAACTTAGCCCTGAACCCTGAATCCCAAACCTCAAGACCCAAAACCTATTGTTCCTGAACCCTGTACCTAAACCCTGAACCCCAAACCCCTACACCCCAACCCCTAAACCCCTAACCCCAAACCCTTAACCCCAAACCCTTAACCCCCGACATAACAGCAGCCCAGCTGCGCAAGAAAGCATCCTCGATGCCATCGACGGCCATTGGCCAGGTGAGCTGGCAGGTGCGCTGGAATTCCTGGGTTGCTCGTTTAGGGTTTAGGGTTGAGGGCGTAGGTGCTTAGGGTTTAGGGGGTTATGGTTTAGAGGTTTAGGGTTTAAGGGTTAGGGTTTAGGTGTTTAGGGCTTAGGTGCTTAGGGTTTGGGGGTTTAGGGTGTAGAGGTTTAGGGTTTGCTTATATGCTCTGTACAGTCATTGGTTCCCCTACTGCCCAGATCAGTTTAGGGTCTAGGGTTGAGGGTTAGCGGCTTAGGAGTAGAGAGTGGGGTGTAGGGGTCCCGTTAAAGGGATTATAAGGGCTAGATAGGGGTATGTATCGTTGAAACTTGAAACTGAAAAACATCCTAAACCTTCAGAATTATGCAGAATTTTGGTTTTGTGGGCCATCTCGACTGGGTTTGGGCTTTTATTTGACTAAGCGTTGAGTCAGTTTGTGCAGTTTCGGTTGAGGGTTTACCCATAACCTCGTAAGCAGTCTGGGCTGTTATCTTTCCGACTTTGGGGGTGTCTGTCAACGCTAATTTCGGGTTGAGAGTTATAGGAGCCCTCGATGGTGAATCGGGTTCAGGGTTTAAGGTAAGTAGGGTTCAGGGCTAAGGTGTTCCTTTACGGGAGAGTGGGCATGGGATATAAACACCGTTGGGAGTACTACAGCGATCCATTCCATCGTTCCCAACTTAGCATGGGTAAGGCTTGAGGAACATAGCCTAGTTTGAAGGAAACCGGTTTCTTATGGTAGGTATACAATTTACATAAACCCCTAAACCCTAAGCCCTAAACCCTAAACCCTATAAGCCCGAAACCGGAGTTGCTCAAAGCTGCGGCCCTTGAGCACCCTTGGGTCATGTAGCACTCTCGCCAGTTTAGGGTTTACTTGGAGGTTTATGGGACTTAGTAACCACTTATAACTGGGCTTATAACCCTGCTTATAATCGACTTAGTAACCACTTATAACTGGGTTTATAACCTTGCTTATAATCCCCCTAGATGGGCTTATAGGGTTTACCCCAGTTATAAATAGGGTTATAGTCCCAGTTATAAGTAGTTACTAATTCCCATGGGCCTCCAAGTAGGGTTTAATGTCAGTCATCGAATCTTCCTGTAGGGATCATGCTTAGGGTTTAGGGTTTAGGGTTTGAGAAACACCCCATGAACCCTAAACCCGACTACCTAGACCTCTATACCCTACCCCTTTTTAAGGTTACCTAATTTTGCAAAAGGTACTGGGTATAAAGTTAGGTACGCGACAAAAAGGGTATGGTATAGGGGTCTGGGTAAACCCTTGAACTTCATATCCAGCCCAAATTTGCTGAGAGCTTTCCAGATTCAAGAGCTGTCTGTACCCGCTGGGCGGTGCTTTGTGGTTCTTTGACCTGCGGCCCATCAATGGGCCAGACATCCTTACTGGGAAGGTAAGGGTTTAGCGTAGAAAGCGCCACAATAGGATATAAAGACTACTATAATGGTTTCTGTAAGGGCTTCCGTCGTTCAATCCTCTAATCCCTAACCCCAGATCCCTACAACTTTGCTTTGCCATGCCATAGACCTTACAAACCCTACGTGGAAATTTTGAAATTACTTTCCATGTTCTGTTCCATTGCATCCCTCCATTCCCAACTAATCCCCTCCCCCTACGATTAACTACTCAAAATATATTGTAATATACCACATTTCGGGAGTACTTAATATGAGGGGCTGGGTAAACCCTAAACCCTAAACCCTTTTGATATCAGGGGGAGGGGATTAACCAACACCAGGGATCTGCGGCATGGGCCTCGCGGATGTAGACGCACAGGAACCGGATGTGGTGTTGCCCCGTACGCCGCGCGCGTAAGTCGTTCAGCACGTGAATTGCAGCGCGAAATGGGGGTCAGGTGTACGAGCCGGCACAAACGATTGTAAGATCCTGGGTTGCTGTTCAGGAGGGTTTAGGGTCAAGAGTTTAGGGTTTAGGATTAAGCTAGGTTCTCATGTTATGGATCTGTAGTAGATATAACCCTCAGGTTTATGTCAACTTGACTTAAAATCCTTACCCTAAGGCTCTCCAACCTGCAGTGTGAGATATGGAAACATGTGCCCCCAAAGCCCTGACCTGTCCTGAGAGCCTTAGGGTAAACCGTAATCCTCAAATCCTAATCCTTTTAGGGTAATAGA